TGACTTCCGGTATCCACCCACTCATTTACTTCTAACTCCTCCTACTCCACTTTTATCGGGACCCCTGTAGATCTACGTAGGATCAGCTTGTTACTCCAGTTTCTTTTCTGGAATTGACTCTCTAGCTGCTTCCATACTTCCACAGCATCTTTGGGTTCTCCAAGTAGATAAAGTAGTGAAGGATCAATCGAGAGCACAATGGTAGCCAAGGCGCAGTCCTTCCTCGCTATGTATCGAGTGACTACTGCCTCGTCTGCTCCATCTGCTGGCGGAACTTCTGTTTCATTGACTATCGTCCAGAGTCCTTCTTTCATGAGAGCCGTTCTACTTTGTAACTTCCAAGTTGCGTAGTTCCGACTGTTAAGAGGAACGATACTTACTCCTTTTGTCTCACTTGCCATTCTCGAGTACTGGGCTCATAACCTGTGAGAGTTAACGCTGAGAGTAGGCAATAGCTGTTATGCTATAAATGAACTGATTATCTTAAAGGAGTAAAACTTAGAGAGAGAGAAGAATCAGACAAAGAACTAAAACATTAAGATAGAGAACGAGAGAACAACTCACAGCACTAACTCATAACAACTCATAATAGTTAGGCCTGAGGATTTTATTCCCAGAATAAAAAAAGAATAATAGGTGGTCTAAAGAATAAAGAATAATTCTGGAATGATAGGGCAAAATTTGTAAAATTGTGCAGTAGATGTGGCTGAATGCTTAATAAATCTTGTCTAACACCTTCAAAAATGCTCATGAGTGTGCTTTACAAGACTCAATTGAGGCATCCTTATAATGTTACAGTATAATGAGCATTAAATGAGACAAATTTTGTATAGTTATTTTGTTTATTTTTATAATACTTGGGAATAATAATAGGAATAATAGGCAAATATATTGGGAATAAGGGAATAGAATAATGGGGACATTTTTGGGAATAATATCCTCAGCCCTAATAATAGTACAAAACCAATACACACTATTTATAGTACAGCACAAAGATGACATCACATAAACCACAACCAAAAGAATGTAATAATCACTAATAATCATTTAGCAGTGCACATATACTAACAAATGCTACATCAAATAATTTAATTTTTAGTGAGCTTATTGATGTCCATGAATAGTCCTATATCTATTTTAACCTACTCTAATATTTATTGCATTAATAACATACAAGTGATCCGTAAAATGACCAAATTTAGTCAAAATACATGATACTACAGACACTACTGATTCATAAAATAATTATAATTCAATGATAGTTCAGGTACACATACACTCACTTCTATTGTACTCTTTACCATTAGTCACTGGATAAAGGAACTACTGGTCTGTAGCGTCATTTATAATAATAATAATAATTACAAGATGATTGATGTCTCTCAATGGAGAGCAAGTATTGGACTGTGGAACTACTGTCAAGCTGCTTCCAGTAGACCAGCTAATGGCCACCACTCTCACTCATTTAAAGCTGCAGTAGACAGCAAGTCAGGCAGTACTACATCAGGAGAGAAGACATCTAAACTGCCAGTAGCTCTGTCTCTTATTGTTTCTCTTCTTTTATCTTTATTAAGATATATGAAGCTCAATTTTATTCCTCCAACTGGTAAACAAACTAACAGTATATAATATTATCATACAGTGTATTTACAATAGGTATAATTACTGTTACTGTTATGAT